AACTTAAAAATATATTTCCAACTTAATATAATATGCTTTTAATGTTATTTTTTCAATATGCCATATATCTTAATAACGTTAGTTGTCTTCAGCATTATTAAATTTTTTAAACTAAAATTGTTTATTAAAAATACATAATATATATATGATCAACTATAAATCAAATTTTCCACTTCATTGATATATCAATTTTCTCAAGAAATCGTATTCATTTATCTATTTTTAATAGAATTTAGAGAAGTGAAACCACAAAAATGAGTTTTTTTCATACAAAGCTGAAATGCGTAATTTATTTTTAAGATCGAACATAATTATTTTTGTATTAATCAAATATTTTAATTATGCGAGCAGTCATACGGATTCATTTCAAATGTACTATAGAAGGAAATTTAGATTAGATATGGCTATTCTACTTGCTAATTGCCAATAAAAAGTAAGCTAAAAGTATTCAAATAAGGAAATAAATAAAACATCAATTATCTTATTTCCTTCCTTATCAATTTACAAGTATTTTATAAATCTTAAATTATTTTATATTCTTTTTAATTAATTAACAACAAAAAAGTTGCAACTATAACAAGAAGAAGAAAAATTACTCATACGCACTGCAGTTGCAAAAATTTGAAATAATAATTGACAAACTTGTACAATTATATATGTAAAATGATAATTAGTTGAGCTCGTAAAAAGTAATTAATTATTTATTTTAAATATTAAATTCTTAAAATATGTTCTCTAATTATATATACACTATTTTAGTAGACAACAATAAGATTTTACTTTCAATAAAATTTAACAAAGTTATATACACAAACTTTTGTATCAATCCATCATGATAATTCAATAGAAAAAGGACAGTAAAATAAAAAAAAATATATTAATAATATTTTATAAACTACAAGTTAAGAATTTATATTTTATATAGCCTATGTATTGTAGCCAAACTCAAGTAGGACTTTAGAATAGCTATGTAATTTTTGTCTAAGATTTTCTGTAAAGATATATATTGCCCTTGCCATATTATGTTTTACAATTGATATCTAGAAAATACAATAAGAAATTTAAATTTAAAAAACAATTTTATTCATTTGAAAATATAATTGTTATAAAATTTCAAAATTTAAAAAACAATTTTATTCATTTGAAAATATAATTGTTATAAAATTTCAAAATCGAGCTAATAGAATTGTAACGAATGTTACTTTCAGAAATTTAAATCTAAAGGTTTTATTCCGAAATTGACTTTCTTATGAATAAACGTTTAGATTTAGCCACTTTTTGAAATTTACTTTCACAAAAAAATAAATTATAATTAAAAACATTTATTCATTTATAAGCGTATACTTGCAAGGAAGCAATAAGATAAAAAATTCAATATGTTTTTTTTTTTCAAATTTTCTTCTTTAAAAATTTTTTGTATATTTTCAATATATTTATTTTCCACACTTTTTGTTTTCTTTTAAAATTTGTGAAGGTCTTTAATTTCGTTTAAATATTTGCTTATAAACGACTTTTGATAGATGACTGGAATATGCGTTAAAATTTCCAATGACGATCACTTTTCATTCACAGTAGATCGCTTATCGCTTTGGTAACATTTTTTCTACAGTCTGTTAGGCGATCACACACTTTATAAGTAGTATGTTAGAGCAAAATGCAATTGTTGCTGTTTTGCATGCAAATTGGAGACTTTAGCAAGAGACTTGTCGTTTTTTATCGTACTTCGAAGTAGCTAAATATACCTAATGTTTTTAGTTATAACAAAAATAATTTGTAAACATATATTAAAAGTAATTAAAATGAGTCACACAGAAAACTTAAATAAAGTACTATAGTATATATAATGATTTTGTACTGGCCATCATGACATAGTTCCTGATATTTAAATTGCATAAAAACTAGAATAAAAATAATTTTTATTTTTTTTCCTGATATTAAAACACCTGTTGCTAGTTTTTTTTAGTAAATAATAAGTTTTTAATTTGCATTAAAGTAGTAGTTTTTTTTTACTGAAATGTATACTTTTAAATTATTTAAGTATAATTATGAATTAAATTGCCGTTTAATTGATCTTTGGTTTCAAATATTTTTAAACTATATGCACTTTTTATCTATGTACATACATATTCATATGTATTGTAAAACACCAAATCGCACAGACTAAATTGACTTTCCTTTTTGCATTAGATTTCATTTTTTATTGGATTAAATATTACATTGAATATTCTTATAACCTTCAAATTAATTTGTGAATGTGTATGTGATTACGAAGCAAACTGGATGCACATACCTAAGTAATAAGCTACTATACCTGCATAACAAGAACAAAAATAAAGCTAACACCCCAGTTGTTACCACAAATAACTTGAAACGTTACACGTGCGGGGCTGTTATACAGTAAGATACAATGTATGTACATATATAAAATTTAACAAACTCGTACTCAAACTCAAAATCAAAATTAGATATATTTTTATTATGACTGTATGTACGCAATATTTGCATGAATTGAAGCAACAGTTTGCATCAGCAGTGATAAACAAAAGAAAAGAGCTACAGTAAAACTTTAAGCAGCATCAACAACAACAATAACTCGATTCGCACAAGAAGCAAACATTGCTTTTTGCAATGGTGCGCAAGAGACAAATATGCTCTCTTCAATTAAAAAAAAAAATAATATTTAATTTATATACAAAGACAAAACTTTCAATGAGCATAAAATACAGAAGTGAAAAGCTGAAAAGCTTTTCTTATGCATACACAAGAGAACAGAGTACAGCTTTTTTTGTGTATTAAAGCTTTGCTTTAAAATCTTTCAAAATTATAAAAATATTAACAACAACACTAACAACAAAAAACCTAAATTTTGTTCTATTTCATATTTTGAAAACGTTCAGTTGCTGATTGCATTTCAAAACGTTTACAACGGCTACAGGGTGTTGCTTGCTTAAGTTTTACAAAAAAAAGTATTCAAAATAATAAAGTCAAAATTGAATTACATATAAAATCACACAAAATATAATCTCAATAATTATTTGTTTAAAACTATTGTTACTTAAAAGTGTTAAGCAAAACTAAGCTAAGCTCTTACAAGCAATAAAGACGACAATAATTAAATTAAATTAAATTAAATTAAATAATTATTATAAATTGTTAAATTTTTGACTAATATTTATTATAAAAAAAAATAAATTATTTCTCAAAGCAAAAATAAAATGAGTTTTACACGTCAACTTTCTGAAATGAGCGCCAGTGAATTGAACGATGCAATCGATGATACAAATTTTCCACAGGCTCACATCCTGTCCCGTGGACGCAACAATAGTGTTTGTTCTACGAGTTCATCTTCACTTATACTGGATCGTACTTTATCACAAACTGATGAAAGTAATGTTAATGCTGTAATCACTCAAAATGCGATCGATACTTTAATATCAACACCAGTGTCAAGACCGAAGCTTATTTTAAAAACAAACGGCACAATACCAGAAAATGAAGCAAATGATGCAACGCCAAAAACTCCAAAAACTCCCAGAACATCAACGACACCAGGTAAAGTCTTTTGAATATACAGACCAAGCCGTAGGAAAAAAGGAAGACAACTGGATTTCTTTTGTAAAAATAATGATATTATAAAGTGGAGTGTGTAATTTTAATTCGTGTAGTATTTTACTAATTATACTAAACTATAACATATTATAGAACAATAATTTTAGAATCAATGGGTTCATTAGTATTATTTCTGTACCTACCGCTAATACTAAGATTAAATTTGAAGATGGCTTGGGAACTTGTCACCATGTCAGTGCATCCTCTGAGGAGTATTGTGACATACCCACTTCAGTTGTATAGACGAGTAGCAGTTAATACTTATGGAACTACAAAACTAAAAACTTAATATTTAAAAATACTAAACAGATTAAGCAATGTTTACGTATTTACACATTTTTATGTAGCAAAAGTCAAAGGTTTTCCACTATTTTATTATTATTTAATTATCGAGTGTGATTAGAACCTGTTCCATTTGTTATCAATCCTAAGAGCTTTCAAACACAATATCAACTATGCATATATATGTATATTAAATTAATTTTTATTATATTATTAAATTAATTATTCGAAGAATGAAGATGTTAATAATCGTGATTCTTTTATACATTCACAAATCAATAAAGTTTGATTTGATAATTTCATTAATCATTTATATATATATGCTATTATTATAGATTAATTGATTTTTTTAAGAGTTATTTTTATTTTATTTTACTGATAAGATCTTCAAATGCTTGTTTTTACTAATTCAATTGTGTCTTTTCTTACAGGTCATGAAAATTGTACATTCCATCATGATTTAGAATTGGATCATAAACCGCCAACACGTGAGGCTTTATTACCTGATATGGCCAGATCATATCGTTTATTACTCGGTGGCCTGGGCGAGAACCCCGATCGTCAAGGTCTGTTAAAAACACCAGAACGCGCAGCAAAGGCAATGCTGTTCTTTACAAAAGGCTATGATCAAAGTCTAGAAGGTAAGTAGTATATTAAATAAATTATATACCTATATACTATGTACTATATATACCTATATACTATATATACTTTTATAACTTGAATAGATATAGATAAGTTTGAAAGTTTATAAAATATGAACTTTTATTCTTATTAACATAGTGGCAAAGAAGTGACAATTTAACTGCCGCATTTCAAAAGCAATTAAGAGTAATATTTTTGCGGAAGTACATAATCGTTTGTAAAATTATTTTCATTCGCACTAAACTTTCATAAAAATATATATAAAATATTTGCAAAAGTTGATTACCTGATATTGAAATATAATTAAAAAAAAATTAGTTTGATAAATTGTTGGTCTTCTTTCAAACCAGTTTGGTTACTTGTTTAATTTAAATTTCATTTTTAAATTTAAGCTTAACTTTAATTTAAGAATATCTCAATACATATATGCATATTTTTCCATATTTTTGACTTACAGTAGGATCACTCACCTCAGTAGCAAATTGGTTAACATGTTGAAGGTGTGGGTTTGATTTGCATTTTTACAAGATGAGTTTGTCTGGTGTGGTAAAATGTCATTCTATCTGAAAGGGGATAGAACTTTCACTAATGGAAGTCATTCCGGATTTCCAGAAACATGATATGTCTACTTATATAGTTTAAGATCGTAGTTTTCTGCTCCACTGTTTAACCTCACATTACTAATTAAAAAAAAATTACTATTATATGAAGCTTAGAAACAAAATAAAAGGAACTAAAATAATTTTCATTGTAATATTCTAAAATTTTCGGTTATTGAAAAATTGAAAAAAAGTTCCATTTGCTTACCACCATTACTATAAACTTATCGAATATAAAAGGTGCCACTTAGTGTTAGTCTAACCATACCCTAAAAAAATTGTTATATTTTTAATCATTTGCGAACATCTCTCAATGTCTTAATTAATGTTAAATGAATACAACTGGAATTAGTTAATTTAAAAATTAAAGACCTTTCAATATGCAAGACTAGAAAGTTAACTTAATTATTTATTTAAATTTTATCAAATAATGTCAAATTAATTTAAAATAATAACACACAAAATATTAACGAAAAGCAGACAGAAATCTATATGCTGTCATCATCGAATATGAGATAACGGAGATGAATCTGAGATAATATGCAAACAAAATATTTGCAGTATTACAAAGAAAATACACCATAGAAATGTCTATAGTTCCATTAATATTATGTTAAATAATATAATAAAATAGTTTGTAATAAAATATATGTTGATCCGAAAATGCTAACTATTCCGTTATTTAGCTAGCTGGCGGATGAAGTTTTCTTGACACCCAAGAGTAACCTATTTTATTCTATTTAGCTACTATGTGTAAGGTGCAGGTACTCTTAGCATTTTAATTTCTACACTATAGATTGAATCGACATGGATGATAATTAAATCATTCACACATATTATTATTTTTCTGTATTTCTGAGTCATTTTATTTAATAATTGAAAGTAGTATATGTGATAAAATATGCTAAAAAATATAAATAAAGCAAAAAGTAATGTGTGTGTGTGTAATATTTTTGATATCGGATCACATTACTGAACAATTGACTTCTTATTGTAGATGTACTTAATTCTAATAAGATGATGAATATTAGCATACATGTAATACTCTTGTAGGTAAATATTAAGCAAAAGCATAGCAATAATATTCATCAGCATCCGTGACTATTAGTTCATGTTGGAGATAAGCCTGTTTAACAACAGTCTTTCATTCTTCTCTGTTTTAGAATATCAAATATTAAGCCGATAAATGATTATAAGTACATCTTAAGTTTTTTGACTTAAGTTATGAAAAATGGATCTATTAAACTTACATGCGCTTAAAACAATGTGTAGGGTGCTAAGGCGGCAATGACAGTTAAAAAATAAATAAATAAATATATATATATATATATATATATATATATATACGTAAAAATTTCAATTTATATGTTGAAATGTATAATCAAATTTTTTAAAAATTTATAAATAAATATAAGCAATGTAATATTAATGCAATCGTTTCAAAAATAACCGCGTAAAGTGGTATTCAAGCGCCGAGGTGATCATTTCGCTGTTTGACTTAACATTTTTTAGGTTTTTTCACATTAAAAAAGTAAATATTTCTGTAAAAAACTACTTATGACTGACTTGTGTTATTTTGTGATTTCCGTCAATAGAGACAACTTTTCAAATTTTAAATATTTAATTAACACTACAGCGACTTAAATTTTAACACCTGTTCTGATTTTTATTTTTTATTTATATATACTAATATTATTTTTTATTTTTTTTTTTAACCCTATATTTAACTGAACATTTATCCATTTGCTTAATTAGCATACGCGATAGCTTTACGACTTTTTAATTTATTTATAGAGCACTTCCATTATATGTGAACATGAGTTCGCAACTTAAGCTTAAAGAGAGCAAAAATCTTTCCAAAAGTCGTGTATTTAATACGGTGCTTCCTTTATGTTGACGCCAGCAATGATTGCAGTTCAAATTTACGGGAATGAATCATTATCTGAGGAATTCCCTAACTTGTTGCTAATTTAACTTGGAATTGCCGTCAAACAAGTCCATGTCAAATTAAACAATACTAAAAACTAAATTAAATAAAAAACAAGTTGTTGTACGTAAAAGCGATAAAATAAAAAATCCCTGCAAAATATGGTATATTCTGAATTCCAGCACACAAGATTTTCCAAAAAAGTAAATGAATTACTTTCGCATTAATTTTAAGTTGCTATCACAATTACTTAATCTATTTACTTAATAATTAAATGGATAAACAAATTCAGATTTTTTAAATTAGTGCACTTAATGTGTACTCTATTATAAGCGTAATATGTAAATTTTTGATGTATTTATATTTAAATACCTATATTATAAGGGATATAGGAATAAAAATAAATGGG